AAACATGCAATTTATAAATGATTTCACAGGTTGAAATCATGAGTTAATTGAAGCTAGATCACCATAGGAAACCTAGAAGCACTAGACGGCCGTTTCGCCCTAATGCGGGACTCCTCAACAGTGCGTTCCCACGACCCCGCTGGGTTTGAACCCAGGACCTACTGGCTTCGCGCGCGAACACTTAACCACTAGACCGGCATCCAATGGTGTTAATGTTTAACTCCAGTCAATCCAAGACGTTGCGCCACCGTACACCATTGTCTTCAGTGAGCTGATATCTCACAACAGACCTGGTTGAACTCCATTGGTAACGGCTTCTCACTAGAACTCCAGAAGTATCTCCTGAAATTAGTCACTAGTGAGCAGTTGATTATTATCAGAATGGGTTTTGTGGAGATTTTTAAAATTTTACAGTTTGGAATCATGAGTCAATACTAGGACGAAACGGCCGTCCAGTGCTTCCAGGTTTTCCATGATGGTCTAGTTTCAATTGACTCATGATTTCAACCTGTAAAATATCTAAAAATCTCCACAAAACCCATTCTGATTATAAATGATTCACAATTTAATAGTTGAGATCACAAGTTAATTGAAGCTAGACCACCGTAAAAAAACGTAGAAGCATTGGACAGCCGTTCCGTGTGGGACTCCTCAGAAATGTGCATCCGTCCAGTACTTCCAGGTTTCCCACGGTGGCCTAGGTTCAATTGACTCATGATCTTAACTATTAAAATGACTATAATATCCACAAAACTCATTCTGATATGTCTTGAAATCGTCAACTTAAAATCAATAACTTAATGTTCTGAATATATGTTATTGAAGTAACTAAACCGACAGCAGAATAGTTGTCCGTCATAACTTGACTCGTAATGAATTATCCAGTTTATGTTATTTCATGATGCGAATTATTTATAAATAAATCAAGTATTGAATAATATTTCTAAAAAGATTACACAACTACAATGAATCATGTTGGTAAGCAGTTTCGTGATATTGATTTTCTTCACATTACATTGTGCTATACATATAGGCTTCGAAAATCTGATATCGATCTGTAGTTCAAAAAACCTTTCAAATGTCTTGTCAAGTAAAGGATGAAAATAAATTTGATAATTGATTGGGTCACAGTTCATTTGTAATGATAATTCATTAACCATAACTGCAAGATATTGATTATTTAAAGAGTATTATAAATCACTATTGATAAATACTCACAAGATATATGTACACATACTTACTTCTATTACTAATACATACAGTTCCTGGAATTAACTTTCTAATTTGTACATTCAGTATATTGACTAAATAGTTCTGTCCAATAAAAACATTGGCTTATGTATCCTACTACTAGGTATAGGTCAAAAACTTCGCATTTAAATGAGAAGAATCGTTTCAAAGTTATTAAACTGGAATCTTTTTCAAGAAATGAAATGGCAAAATTTAACTATCATTTAGAATGTTAGTTTGTAGAGATTGATTATTAAATCTACAAACAGAATACGCGAGCTTATACAAAATACTTGGAACATCATGTACTCTAGTTAAAACGTAATGAACCTAATGACAAATTTAGTATGATTTGTACTATCTTAGACTACAAAAATAAGAACAGGCATTTTCCACTTTGAGAAAACTTAATTTATTGAGATTGTCAACAAAAACTACTTCACACTCAATGATGTTATTAAATGCGCACCAATAATTGAACTCGCATCCAAAATATATGTTAATTCACAATACTGGTTATGTGGAGTTGAGTAAATCCATCAAAACAAAGTATACACACTTTCCCCGAGTATGATCTAGTTTTTTTTATTCGAAACAAGTTAGCACTTCTAGTGTGCAATTAGTAGCGTTGTTCTCAGCAAAATAAATTGTTGGCTGAATTCGGTTATGAAAAGTACTTTGATTCGTGTAATGTATGTATCGTGACAATCAAAATCACCATAGAGCCCGCAACAAATGCGCTTTATCTCAAGTTGCATTACCACATTAAGTTGAAATAATTGTAGTGTCAATAAGGCTAAATATTATAGTTTGTTCCCACGACAGATTGCTTCTAACATTATCATGACACCTAACATTGTATGACGATGTAAGTGCAACTTTAGTACGTCCAAAACAACTCAATCGCCGAACGTTAACAAACTCACCAACCTAATACGCATATATCCATGACATAGACGTTGTTCAGTCGGTGACTTCATGGTACACGAGCAATGCACCTTTTATTTCATATACCAAGTTTCGTAACATAAAGTATTATGTATAATCATCCTTTGGTTGGCTGACTAACATTTCGACTACGTTGAAGGTGGAACAGGTTGAAATGAGTCAAGCGAGCTTCTACCAAACACTAACCTACCAAGGTTGATGAGAATTCTGTGGTATTTTCCAGACTGACGAAGGTTAAAATAACCTGTTGTGGATATATCTAAGGATATGAACACTTGTCTCTTACTCTACTTAAGGTCAAGTTAATGAAGAGTAGGCGAGAATGATAAGGTAACGGCCTTCCCTTCAAGTTCTTATTGTATCATTTGGACAGTACATACGCGATTATAATCACACTAGAACCCAGTGTGTGTTTAGAAGACAACACACATCGATGGTACTAGGTTCCAAGATCTCAGCTAGTGCACCTAGCCCTCAATTTGACACACGATTCAGACATTGGAAGACCCATTTATTTTGAAGGGATTTCAGAAAACAAGGAAAGATATTCTGTGAGTCCCATACGTTATCAATAGTGTCAAGTGTGAAAGGACTAGAGATATCAGTTGACAATGGAAACAGAATACTGAGTAGACTTGATTGTGAACAGTGATCAGTTGAAGGTACAAGGGTGGTTGTCACTCTCCAACTGCCTAACATTAAAGGATACTTCTTCGAAGACCCGAACAGGGAACTGCATTAATAGTGGTCATGACAATTTGAGAGTAGGATTGCAGAGCTTAAGGAACAAATGCTTGAGGTTGGTCACAGCATTTTTATGGGATTTGATGTCAGTTCGGTACAACAACGGAGATCCCTTTGGACGTAGTGAACCGAGCTACTTCTGAGCCGCACCTTTTCTAACCCTCACACATTCCGTCGTGGAGGCACCAACGCTGTGGATCTTGGTCGACTGAAAAAACACCATGCTGCCATCAGATCTTGAGTTTGCTTCTTTTAATATTACGGCTTTCTAACCAACCAGTCCGGCATGGTGGGAACTAAGGTAACAGATGTTTCAGCCAATTAAGCTCGATCAATCATCATGATGTACAAATATGACTATAACATCGAGGTGGCCGTTGCGACCAAGAAATTAGACTACTGACGATTCGAAATATCAACAAAAAAACCCCGACGAGAATAACACACATTTTGAGATAAATCCAACCCTTATAGTAGGAAAAGAAAATTATACTCAAAGAAGCAATAATAATTTTACTGATTACCTTCTACAGATCAATAAATGTAGGAATACATAGATAATAATTTTTACCTAGCCACATTAAGAAATCTAAGAGCATACAAGTTGAAGACTATTTTGGTCACATTAATAGTGTAACATATTCACGTAGAGGAATAACGCATAAATAGATATGAAGATAATTAGGAAGGGTATAAGAATAATTAAAGAACTATAAGACAAATGTAAGTTATTCTTTGGACAAAATGACGTTACTTACTATAAGAAAGATATGTCCTTTAATCAAAATGAGACCGGATTTGACTTGTTGGATAATAATGTTTTAGACATATAAATCGATCAATGGGTATTATATATACCATGAGATAAGAAACAAATTAACACACAGACACAATAAAAATCACTGACTGAAATGATGCATAATAAGTTTAAGAATATTTAACAGAATGAAAATTCCTTCATTATATGATAACCGTCGTTATTGTCGACAACAATGATAAGGAATCAATTATATAAATGCAATGGAAAAAGAAAAACGAATTACACAAGAGTACGTATGTAAATACGATACACACGCACACACAAAAATCCCCAAGAAAAAATGTGATAGGACCAAGTAGAAAAAGTATGTGTTGTTGTTGAAAGAGAACTTACGAGATACAAAAAAGAAAAAAACAAGAAAAGAAACGTTTATTTGTATCCCAAGATGAGATAATGTATTATAATAAAAGATTTAGGATGATTATATACAATATTGTGATGTTATGGTGTACAAAGAACATAGGTCGAGCGTAGAATAATTTTGGAATAACTGAAAAATTGGTGTGTTGAGTAGGAGACAACGGCATAAATGCATTTCTGTTTCATACGTACTGTATTGTCGTCCACCAGCAAGATTTAAATATTTCTTTTTCTCGAGTAAACCAATTGGAAAATAAAAACAAAAAACGCAGGTAAATTCCACATTACTGGAGGTAAATGCAAAGATTCATAATAATAATAACAATTATTATTATTATATTGTCAATGAAGAATGATGATCAGATTAGCGACCAGATCACCTCCGTTGTGCATTTTTCTATGAGTATAAGAGATGATGATTTATAGTGCTGACATTAGCAACATTAACTGCGAATCAATAATGATGAGAACAAAGAGAACGGTGAGTATTCATGTAAGAAATGGAAAAGTTTTTTGTGCATTATTTCTGCGAAATTTTGACACGTAAAAATCGTCATCAACAACAATGTTACGCACCTATGGATAGCTAACAGTGCGATCACACACACAATCAAGAAAAGTTAGAGGAAAAAGACAGTTACAAGTAGAAAATATCAGCAATGATTACACCAGTAGAAGTAGTAACAATAACAAAAACAGTAATAAGTAAGAAACATTAAGAGACATTAATAAACTAATTAATGTCAATTCATACCGGATAGTTGTGATACAATATATCATGTGGGACTATAGTCATAAAGAGAGGCGAAAAGGATCGTTAGTGAAATGAATGATCTCAGATCATTAGTATAAGATATTGTTGTATTTTGCACACATAAATTTAAGGAATGTTATTAATTTATCGTTGAGAAGTGAAGATAACCTCATACAAATTTGCACGCTTATCTCCGGAACCGGTAACCACAAATTTATCATCTAAGGATATGTCGCATGTTAGAACTGACGCCGCTTCTTTCGTCTAGCAGTTAAGAAAACAAAATGTTATTATTTAAAAATGATGCAGAAAATAACAAACTTGAATAAATGAACTTTCAATTAGCTAACTATAAACATGCTTGTCATAAAACCAAATTAACAAATAAAGTTTGCTATCAAATTGTTCTCATGGACAATATTCACTACGATAAAATGTGCACACTCATTAATTTGAAGAAAGCTGTTACCAGTTGATGAAATTTGTAAGTTGCTCAAAAAGTAGCAAAACGTTCTGCTGTTGAGAGGAAATGGAATGGAACTATTCGGGTTCCCAAACCGAAGTGTGACACAAACGTGTGCCCAAGTAGTTGAAACCGGGATCAATTAACAACCGTCGTACAACGACCTCGAATCAATCAAACACACTGCGATTTACTTAATACATAAATAAAAAGCGTGTTCTTAAATAATATAAACTTCAGTACCGTCTACAAGCTTGTGGTTCTGGTACATCAGATACCACTTAATTTACTCAGATCTGTTAGCCTTTTTAAAATATTTATGCTTCAGTTACCTATACGAGTGGATAATTAACGATTATTGTTACCAGACTAATACACAGAATATCCTTATTGTCTTGACATTGAAAAACAAAAAGTGAAAAGTTACTTGACAAACCACATGGTAACAAGTAGAAAGAAATGCTAGTATCGATGGGCGTTGTCATTTTTAAACATTTTAAACTTTCCACAATAAACTATTTAAAAAAGGAATCAAACTAAGCTGTGTTTTTTTCTTTATATTAAAAATTAGTATCTACCTTTTGAGGAATGTCAATTAAAGTTAAATGTAGACGTGACGTCTCATCAAAAGATTGTATTAAATTGGTAAATGATAAATACTTTGACTAATGCATACTACATAAATACAATACAAGCGAACAGCTACAAATACGTGCGATAGGATATTGATTACACACAAAGGTTAATAGATTAAATACACTAAACTTATTCGGTTTATTCGTTAAAAACCATTCTACTTTCAGTAATTCCTACTGTTTAGACGTGAAACATTGTAATTATTTTATTTTAACACATACATATTGGTAAAAGGAAGCACCAAATACATATGCGACATACAAATCTCATTCGATATGTATGAGGGCTGTAATACTACCCGGGTGCCCAAACCGAAGCAAATGATTTTCTTAGGGGGCCACTCCCCGAGCCTTTGACCTAAAGGTCTGATCCACAAGGCAGTGGAGTATTGTGAGGAAATGCAGTAATATTAAAAGCTTATAATCATTATACGGTAAGCAATTGACAAATACGATTGTTAATCATTATTTACAGAACTCTCACAAATCACCAAGCAATAAACACTTCGATACGAACAAATTTTTGTTTTTACTCGGAAAGATGTAAAGGTAGTGAATGGTAAGTATTTACTGATGAGCATGTGAGTTTACCTACCTAAAGTAAAAATAACGTCCGGTTCACAAGCAAATATTAGGAAATCAGTGTAAGTATACATTAATTTCCGATCACTAGGACAAAACATTTAATGAATTTGCATAGGTCTCATGTATGTTAGATTAGCAGTTTACCACCTCTTACTACAGGATACAAAAGGGAAAGTAGGATTAACAATGAATAAGTTGTCACTTTTACTTTAAACTCAGAATACTAAAGAACAATGGTATGTGTAGTAAAAAGATAACTGAAACTAATTCTGCTTTTTAAAAAAAAAACTCAAGATACATAATTACCACATTGATGAAATTACTTACTTCAAGAAGACAGGCACCATATGGAGTTCGCCAAGCATTAACTTGATGATCTTTACCTGTTGTAAGGAACCAGTCAGCATGATGTGCAAACCTTAAAGCTAACACACAACTTTCATGATGAGTAAGACGAAAATGTTGAGGTTGATTAGATCCAGTATGATGGGATATTGGGGAAGGATTACCACTCCCACTTCCAGATTCTTCACGTGGTACATTATAATTAACAGAAAATGCTGAAACAGGTGGTCCATCTGGTCCTATAGCTAGAACTTCAACCTCAGATGACTCCAAACCCACCGCTAACCAGCTTTCAATTGATAGTGACTTATTGCTTCCACTGACGAACGACTGTGGACTAACTGTGTCGCGAGTACCTCCTCCGGCACCAGCACCACCACTAGAGGTAGACTCTCCGTCAACCGAAACTGGAGAGACTGATTCAGCTTGGCGCCGAGTTGGGGCCATATGTGAAGATAAGCCAAGTGAAAACACTTGGGACTTGAATTCAATGTGACAGACGTCTCGTGAAGGCTGTAAATTCAGAAAACAATAACTGGTGGATACATGTGGCTATTTTGAAATAGCAATAAAAGGTTAGAAAATCAATTAGATTCATACGGATAAATAACTTAAAGAAAAAGGGGCTATAGTCTAATTTAAATAACAAATAGACAGGTGAAATGCTATTGGGACTAATCACTGACCTAAATAATGAAAGTATACTTTATAATATGCTATGCCTTAGGTATCACTGAATAATCTGCTGTAGTAAAACATTAAATTAGTAGAAACTAAATAAACTGATGGGTGAGACTGTAATTAATGGACGAACAAATCAGACTTAGGATAGAGAAATTCATTCATTTATTTAGCTAGATAGCGTTTTGGCACTTTAGCTGATGTCAGTTCGAGATAAAAGAAAAACCCAAATCTAATTCCTAACCCCAACCACTAACTGTAAATCATAATCCTAATTTTTCACACTGATCTATAACCCTTATTCAGCCCTAATACGAGGTGGATATTTTCAATGTCACTTTAGCGTCGCTCAAAGATCATCAATAGTCCCACCTCAAAAAGATATGCAATTTAAGTGATATTGTGTTAGAGAAGTGGCATTAACAACAAAGATTATTGAGAGATTCCGAATTAAAGTATTCATTTATATATACTATGCGTGAAACACAAAACACTATCATATGTCCGAAGTTTTAAAAGTCCATATGAGTTATGTGTACGAGACCGTTGAGGATGTAATGATGCGTTGACAAATGAGAAACTAACACAGCTACCTTTTATTACAAGATGTCATTATTTTAAATGACCGTTCATTCGTTTCTTTTACATCTGAAAGACAACAAGCAACATCAAGTATATAAATGATCAGTTGAACTGTGTTTCCTTATTAATCCATAACAAGATGCAACTTTATTAAACAGATATCTGTAAACTTTTTGAGTTGAAAAGAAAGAATAGAGTGATGTGAAAATGAAACAAATCAAAAACACTATAGATAAAATTAAATATCGAACATATTTTAATCATTATTTTAATTCTACTGAAGAAAAACACTTTAAGTCTCTCTCTCATTCTACATTTGTGTACGTTTAGGTGTGTGTGTCTAGGAATAGACTAGCAAAGAGCGGAAAACTGCTGATTGGCCAGATATATTATCAAGTAACTAACTATATTGTATAGAGAACATACTTACACATGTAGGCAAACATGACCGAGATAAGTTTTGTATACTATGGTGATACTTGCAGATAATAAAATATGCAAACGAAAGAAAAATCTAAAACCAGAACGATGAGAATCAAATATTAATTAATGTCTTTCTGTGAAAAAAATATATTCCCAACACCAGCAATATATATATATATATATATATATATATATATATATATATATATATATATTACTGGCGTTGATAAACAATCTGTACAGACAGGCAACAATGACAGTAAATAACAAAAAACACAACTCTAAATGAGGAAGAGAAGGAAAGTAGTATATAATATTGGGTTCCTTGTAAAGTTTTTATGAAAAGAAAACAACTGAAATGAAATTACAGAAGTGGGAAGATGTAGGGAAGCGTTAATTTTTCATTATTTATATCATTAAACAAAGAATACTTATCTATTCCCCGTTTCGTTAGTTAGTATAACAATCACATATGAGATATATATTTGAATGAATATGAGCACTAAGTAACTAACAGAAAGTTCAAGATAATTTTGTTAATGATCAAAAATTTAAGAAATAAGAGCTTTCATATCAGCTTGTAGAATAAATATCATAAGATACTGAAGCCACTGTGTTTGCAACACACATGCGCATAGTAATCATCTTTAGAAGAAAGGATGTATAGATAATTTTTGGTAATACCTAATTACACAAGATGAAAAAAGGCTATTTAGCTAAAATGGATAAAATAGAATAGGAGTTGAAGTGACTGGTCGATTGAAAAAATTCCTTTTAAACAAACACACAATTAATAACTTTTTCACTAACAAATAAAAACAAAAATACGACGCAGACAAAAAAGAGAATAAACCGGGAAAGAAGTATCGATCGATAGATAATTAAGCGAATCTTTAAATCAACATAAAACTAAGTTTAAAGAAAACGTTGAACATGATAATATGAGTAAAAGAACTCCACTAATACAAACATAATATAACTAATTCAACAAATAAGTGAACAGCCAAATTAAAACCCAAAGAGTTCTTCCACTATATACCTGATCTAGTTAGCATAATATCGATTGTTAAGCATGAAATCAAACAAGCTACCATCAGTCAGTCAGTCAGCTACAACGTAGGACCAGGCACATTTATGCATCGGTCCAAGTTGCCATACCTCATTAACACAACAAGATGGACACCGGATTCATAAAAGTAGTTAATTCAGAAGTGGTAATATATAAAAGAAAGATTGCAATAAGGATATAGTACATGAAGAAGGAATTAGTTCGTAGAAAGAAAGATATGAAGCGATTTTAATCTCTTAGTTTAAGGGAAGACAGAAAGTGTATACACCGACGCCATTGTGATTGATTCTGAGCCATGCCACCGAGAGTCTCCAACCATTGGTTACGATAGTCACGCGGACCCGAACCAAGTAGTCTGCATCTACCAACATGGCTCAGACTAGAAGTTAGTGACTTCAAGCACTGATTCCACGTTTTGGTTTGGCCGCCCCTAACTTTCTTTCAACCATCCCGAACACCGGTTAGCATTGCACGTCGTGGTAATCGGTGTTCGGGCACACGCAACACGTGGCCCAACCATCTCAGTCGATGAAGATTCACAACCTAATCAACTGATTTACCATCATTCCTTAATACCCTGCGTCGAACCTCACTATTACTTACCCGGTGATCGCAACAGATGCCAGGAATATTTCTAAGGCATCTGTGGTCAAATACTAGTAGCTTACGGGTGTCTTCTCTTAATGACCATGTTTCGCTGCCGTAAATTAAAACAGAACGAACTTCCGCGCAGTATACTCGTCCTTTTATTGATAAACGGATATCTCGCCTTCGCCATAGGTGACGTAAGTTGGCAAAAGCCAAACGAGCTTTTCAAATCCGTGCTGAGATTTCGTCAGACACCAACTCATTAGTGTTGATCAGGCTTCCAAGATAAGTGAAGTTGTCAACGCATTCGACTACTTCACTCCCTATCCTTGATTCAGGTGTTGACGCAGACCAGTCCTGAAGCAGCAGCTTGCATTTAGAGGGAGAGAAGCGCATTCCAAACATTCTGGCATTGTTGCTTAGTGCTACCAAAAGACTCCGCATTTTATCAGCGTCTTCACCTAATAGGACTATATCATCTGCGTATTCTAAGTCGATAAGTGGACCTCCTGGAAGGAGATCAATACCCGAGAATTCAGTCGACGAGAATGTTATTTCCATCAGTAGGTCTATGATGAAGTTAAACAGAAATGGAGAAAGTGGACATCCTTGACGGACACCACTTGAGGTTACAAAAGTAGATGACAGTTCGCCATAAGCTCTCACTCGACTAGTAGTGTTCGAGTAAAGAGCCTTCACAAGGTTTATGTACTTCTGAGGTACGCCTTTCAGTGACAGACACTGCCACAGAATCTCGCGGTTTACCGAGTCAAATGCTGCTTTTAAGTCAAGAAAGACCACCATTGTCGGACGCCGACAAATATGCCTATGTTCTAGAACCTGACAAATGGTGAATATGTGGTCGATGCAGCCGCGACCAGTGCCGAAGCCAGTCTAATTTTCTCGTTTGCAGTTCACGAGTCTTAGTTAGGCGTCTGATAATTATCGAGGCTAGTATTTTAGATAATATATTAGTTAAACTAATCCCTCTATGGTTGTTACAGGATGATTTTAACTCTCTCTTATATATTGGGACAATAAGTGATTGTAACCAGTCAGATAGAATAACGTCTAACTCCCAGATCTTAGCTAAAATATTAGTCAACCTAATCTCTAAAATTGGACCACCATCCTTAAAGACCCCTGGAGCCAACCCATCTGGACCAGTTGCCCTTCCTCCTTTCAGATTAACTAAACAAGCTACAACTAGTTCATACAAGTTGATCTCAACTCTATGCATGAACTTACCATGGACTCGTTAAAAAAGTGAATGTTCATTATACACTTACATTTCCACGAATATCCCAGCAACGGACTTTATGATCTAAACCACCTGTCCACAAACGATTTCCATCTCCAGTAATTTCAACACATGATGTCCCATCAACATGTCCATGAAACTGGTGAACAATACTTTGATTATGTATATCCCAAACAGCAACTTGGCCATCGGAGCAGCAACTAAAAAGAGGAAAATATTTTTGCAAATAAAAACCAACAAATACAGTCCTATAATTAAGAAATGATTTATTCCCTAACCAACTTAAATTTCGATGAGATAAGCCAAGACTATACATGCGACATAAATTGAGGAAAGTTGGATTTTAAAGTCTACGTTTCCAGTTTTTATGTTAAATTATATTTGGCAAGATGTGATGAATAATTTACGTAGGTTGCTGAACGATCAAAGTTGATGGTTTCTGGAAGTTTAAAAATCACGAAGTCAATGATTCACTTTGATGTTATGAAGAAAATATTACAACGATTAGTGCACAGTTCTTTAACCGTTTGTAAAAATGAATTATAGCTAAACTGAAATATCCATTTTTAGCCTATAATAAGCCTTTCAAAAAGTAAGCAAACAGAAAAAGTTATTTGACTGTTGGGAGCCTCTTGATAGTCTCCCGACGTCGGGAGAAAGGCGAAAAATTTATGCTTAATCAGAATCGAATGAAAACTTCTCACAAACATCCAGAAAAATTAAGGATTACGTGTCACAATTTGATTAGATAACTATTTATTTTGTTACTAAACCCATTATATTTCCAAAAGCTTCAATAAAGTCACTACCACCTGTGAACCTATAAATAAGCTTGTTTTCTGTAAATAAATTAACTTAGAGACTCTAATATAATCGGACTGCCTAACGAACATTAATTTTGCCGCGCTAGAAATATTAGATTACAGCACGATAGTGGTAAAAGCAGAAAATTAATTTTCTACTGTACACAATCAATAAATTTGTAAATGTAACCCAAAATTACCTATAGGCCAGTTTTCCATCAAGCGAAAGTGCAAGTGCATAGCAAGCAGGCGCTTCAAATGTCAATTCAGCTTTACGTCGTCCTGGACCATTTAAATCCCAAACAGTGAGTGCGTTAGATTCACCACCAACTATAAGACCAGAAACATCCTATAATCATGAAACCAAAAAGATCGGTAAATAAAAATCCATATTTTATTTAAAATTTTTGTCAGTAAATATGATATAGTAAAGTTATCTTACCGGGAAAAGTTTGATAGATCTAACATAGCTGTCGTAGCATAAACAGTCAAAAGTAGCAAGGGGAGTAATATCTCTATTAGCAAGTGGGGTACTTCCAGAGTTAGCACTAATCGATGCAAGATCCCATAACTTGACGCTGCCTCGAGCACCAGTATAGGCAAAATGAGCGGGGATAGAAGTGGTGTGATTTGAACCTGGAGAACCAACTGTAACACTATCAGTGTCACTTCCAGCATTACGAGATCCAATACAGGTATCAGCTGAGGCCAATGAAGAAGCACGTCCTACTGGACATGGACCTAAAGTGACAGCACAAACGACGTCACCATGAGGTAAACTAGCAAGGTGTTGAAGTCGACGAGGCAATCCCTGGGCAGTAGTCGCTCCGGGAGCGGACGCCAATGCACACGGTCGAGTTTGTCCATTAGGCAACACTATGAATGAATAAGCACCGGGACCAGACTGAACACTAAAATAAAGGGTAGGATAAGATGTATATACGTAAAAAAGGACTAGAAACTGAATTAATAACATTTCAAAACAAAAGTATAAACTGTAAAAGACTATGTTTAGAAAAATTTATGAGTTTTGAAAATAGTACATTACCTGTCCGATTAAAGAGAAACTAAAGGACAGAAAACCAATGAGCTTTGACTTATTTATTCTCACAGAACACATCAATCAAAATTATATGTTCATCTAATATCCGTCCAAATAGGGACGCATTTTATATCATAATTACATGTTAGCAAAATATGAAATCAACATCTAACTCTATATAATATGACACGTATAAAAACAAATTGGTTTATATTTAAAAACACGGTAGTGTAAGTACATTCAATAGCATTTAAGAAGCTGACTAATAAACGGTTTCGTGTGTCCTTTTTATCAAAATAGTTAACCGGAAATCGTTTCAACTGGAAGACGTTTCATCCTTAAGTCAATTTTAGTTAGTAACATTTTTACTGAATACACTCCTGTAAGGGATTTTATTTATTTATTTGAACACAGATATTGGTACAAGGGGGCACCAGATACATATGCGCCACACTAAACTCATTTTATTTGTGTGAGGGCTGTGATACTGCTCGGGTGCCCAAACCGAAGTAGGCGATTTTCTTAGGGGGCCACATCCGGAGCCTTTGACCTAAAAGTTTGATCCACAATGCAGTGGAGAATCGTAAGGAGATGCAGTCTCATGGTAGCCGGTGACTAATAATTGGTTCATACGCTATTTGTTCCCTCAGGATATTGGAGCCCATGTGGGCCATTGGTTTGGAATCAGGGTTTTACAACTCCCCTAGATTAACTCTCCGCGTCTGCCAACCCGGTTAAGGCACCGAACATCCACTTTTCGTCCTTCCAGTTTCGTGGACAGAGTTGGGGCGAGAAGGCAGTGAGTAGGACCTGTGTGGCAGAGGCTATATACGTGTGGCTGGTATTATGTCAAGCCTACATAGGTCATTCTAGCCTCTGGACAGATCAATCTATTCATTCTTCAAAAGCCATATTTTTGCCCTGCCACTTATTCGTTTATTAACCTTGACTATTTTTATGTAGGCGTATGTATGTGCATTTCTTATCTAACTCACTACATGTCTGGGAATTGGCTTACATGTCTTCTCCACCGGGCGCCACGTCGCTTTGTTTCTTTGATCGTTTGTCCAGATCAACGGTTCTATGAAATACACATATTCTAAATTTATTCTCGCATTTGATTTATTTAATTGTTATTCACTAACGCGAATTAAGTCGATAATTATATAAGAGGACTGACGACATGTATATTTCGATAAAAGTCAGAAACCATCTAACTAGAGTTAGATGTAGGACCACTAAATTCCATATGCAAAGGGATATGTTCAGTTATAAATTGTATTTACTACCTTAACAACTTAAATACTGCAAGACATTACCGCTATCCAGTGTGCTAAATAGATATTGGGGTCAAATAAATGCAATTTTTTACAAAATATGACGGGAATTTTTTGTAAACATAAGTCAACATGAACTATTTTTAGGATATCACGAGACAATTTTTTATCTGTTCGAACCGTGAACATGCATTTATCTCCAAGTTGGAATCTTGAGAAATATCTGTGAATAGAACGCGTGAGATAAATGTAACCAAGCTAGTGTTAAACAGGAAACTTCTAACAAAGAAAAAACCACCAGCAAACTATTACTTTCGTATAGAAAGAATTCAAAAACTCAGTCATTATTTACATACACCCCATCCTAGTAAGCTTGTAGGCGAAACGATAGTAACAAGAATAGGTAGCAGTTATCCACAGGTATAATTAAGGTCCGACATATGCTTAATATAAAATTAATTAGTATATATATATATATATATATATATATATATATATATATATATATATATATATATATATATATATATATATATATATATATATATATATATATATTGATGCAAACATGATTTCTGAAAGAAATCTAACACTAGTTTTACTTTACATAAACTTACTTTTTAGATGATTGTTTCCACCGGGTTGAAGCTGGGACCTCGGACGCCTGAAAAATATAAAGGAAAAGAACGAAGCATGAATTATCCACCAAACTGAAAACAGTAGGATGGTAATAAATTGAGCGAAGTAGCTTAAATTAGGAACCGAAAATTATTTTACAACACTTAAAAAGTACACTGCAGTAACCAAGCTGGTGAACTCTTCTAATCAAAGTACGTAAACTTATCGATGGATGTACTTTATTTAATTGTGGCCATTAACTGATATGGCAACTGTCAAGTAGCATAATTCCATGGATATAAATAGAAGTAGACTTTGTAGAAAATTGAGAAAACGAACAGAATCAATTTATTTTATCAGATTAACTTTTTCTACTTACTTATTTAGACTAGATTACGTCATACCCACTTTACAGTCGGGAAGCCAGATACAGTTTGTCTTTAAAAGACAACCATAACAATGTGCGCACATTTTTTGACATAATGACCATAGATGGTGGGACCTTTTGGTCTAGTTGCTGAAAGAAACTAGTAATCTTACAGTGATGATGAAGATTTGTATCTTAGGTGAATGATTTTGGTAGTTTCTTTATTTGAACTGGAAAATTTATACTTCACTTCCTGTAATACCCCTTATGTTGGTAGATGCAGACTGTCTGTTTTACATCTTTTACTCTACGATCTAATTTTTTACTCTGGAATCGTGCTTTATATCGTTCATCTTTTTTTACTATCGCTGATATTACCATTACTTCTACCACTTTGGTACTCATCTTGATAATTTCATCATCCTCTTCTCTAACTGAAAGAATTCTTTCTGGCTGTATTTTTCCTAACTGAACTGCTTTTCCCATCACTATTATTATTACTCCACTCTCATACATCGATTCCTATTTATAGAACTCCAGGGAAATGTAGGATAATCACATGTGTAACAAAAATAAAAGATTTTCAGATAGTAAAATGCTGTCACAAAAATAATACCAGACTGAATATAAACTATAAATATTGCATAACTTTGGATTTCTTTAAGAAAACGCCATTTTTCTAGTTAGAAGCTATATGTTTATCGTTCATTCATCTAATCAGCAACTAATCGTCAATAGATTAAGCTTGACAGTCCATACAGCGAAGATGAGACTTTTTAAGATGATGATCAAGAGTTTAATGACCCCCTACCCAAAGCGAAATCCCCATAGCAAAACTGACTGAAACCTCAATCTCAGAAAATAAAACCCATCTGACAACCGACCACCACCATTGATGAGGATAGATTACTGTATTACTTTTGTAGAATGACACTTAGAGTGGAATTGCACTATATGTTTGACACATTCACGGAAGTCGGATTCAATATCCGTTTCTTCATTACAATGAATAGCATCATAGCACGATAAACAAATAACTGCAAACTGAAAAACTATTCCTGTTGTAAATAATGTTAAGGTAACAGCTTACTACTTTGTACAATATAGCATAAAGCATACATCTGAAAATTAAATGCAGGATACGAAAATATTAAAAACAAATCACTGCTTGTTTTTATCTCTGAATAAAGAAAGGGATTATAAGTGACAAATTAACCGTTGTAATTTTCTTAAATGGTTGTAATAAAAAGTGCAAACATCTCCATTTAGGAATGGGTGTATTAATAAAGAAATTAAAGAACACTATAGATAAAGTACCTAACACCTTCATTAAGTGAAGTCTTCGAAGAACGATTCTGCAAAGTTAGGTGGATATAGATTCTAAGTAAGAGTATGCGTATGATATTAAGTTAGGTAGCTGGCTAATGTGACAACCTGAAATCTACGGGAACTTGTAGTGCAACATTATTTTAGGTTCAACGTCTACAATCCCTCATATTATCTTTTTGAATAAAAAAACTGTGATCCGTGACTAAGCATAGAATGGCTGACATACTATAGTATAGAGAAGTGTTTAGGGAAATAAGACTACTTAATCTCACCAGTATGCGAAAACTAAAATTTTATTTTCCGGAACGTTGGTAGAAGTAAGCAGCACAAAAGAAAAGCAAGATCGCCTTGAAAAACCAGCTAATCGGATTTTCGTCATTTTGGGACAAATTATCACTTAACAGCTGATAAGTAGTAGTTAAGAATATTACTAAAATAACTACTGTGATAATCAAACCATGAAATTCAAAATACAAAAAGAAAACAAATACATGTGACAAAGTGCACCAGTTCTATTCGCCACATTTTGTAAACAAAAAGGAGATCAAGATGAACATTGAAAGCATTAAAACCTACCTGAGATGGACGTCCAGAATTCGCGTTGGCAGTGCCGACTGCAGGTGCACTTGAAGTAGTTGGATAGGTAGTGTTGTGACCGGAGCTAAGCTGCGGACTAAGATCTAGGAGAGAAGAGGAAAAACAAAAGAGGTTTTTATAGGGATTTAATCTTTAAAAGTTATAGTTGGAATTGGTACATTAGTGAGGTTTACGAAAAGGTTGAAAGGACAAATTTAGGACGCACTGATCTGCAACTCATTTCGACCCTCTGTAGGCCTTATTAACTGTATTGGTTTTTGATGGCAATGTAATTTTTCAATACGCTTCTCTGAAAAAAAACCATCCAGTTCCCGATTGTTCTCCCAGCCTTAAGCACGATATGGTCATAAATGGCTTTTCATCACTACGAACAAACTTAAAGAATCAAAGTTTGATGCTAGTTTCAAGAAATCACACTTAACTGCTAGTTATTTACCATCATTACGATTAGATTTCTTTTTAATTTTCAATGCCTACTAAGAATGTGCTTTTAAAGCTATGACTGAACGACTGGCGACTAAAGGGTTGATGATATGAAATCACACTACTTCCGTATATTAACCCAATGATAGCTCTACTCATTCTAGTATAACAACCGCCTGAACAGTTTCATTAATAGTTAACAATTGCAGTTACTGCATTTTTATTTATATCACCCTAATTTCGCAGTACTTTTCACTGTTGGAGTTGATTTTGCGAATGCGTTTCAGTTCCTTTTTACTTTTGTAAAAAACAAGATTGATTTGTTGCAAAACGACCAATTCGAGAGAAGGCACATTCACTAACTTGCCTTGAGTTGCAGACAACTGGGTTGAAATGCACATACATACCTATCAGTAGTGTTTTACCTCATACTTAACAAATCTCAGTGAGCAGCAAATGGTCTTTCGATAAGTTGAATAATATTCAGGGACAATTGATGTTGGACAAACTTAGTCTTATTAGTTTGTTCAAACAATCAAAAATTTAATAGTAGTAATTGTTATATTTCGCAGCCCCGAATTCGCATTGGTTTGCAGGTTATTCAAATATCATAAACATTTTAAGTTGTTACTTGTCATCTTATCAAGACACCTTCAGCTACCAGGCAGTTGTAGATGTGGATTAAGTGAATTCATAGGTTTACATCTAATCAGTAATTTTGTCAGTCAGTCAGCTACAACGTATGACCAGGCACATATATGCATCAGTCCAAGTTGCTACACCTCATTAGCACAAGATGAACACCAAGTCCATAGTAGTTACTTCAATAGTAGTAATATATAAAAGAAAGATTGCGTCGAGTCACCTAGACCAGTGGCCACATTTCAACTTGGTTTATAGGATTCGATCTGCATCAAGAAGGACATGACATACATGACGTTGGTCACCACCCAGTGATCAATCAATTGTAAATACACATCAGTCCTACAGGAAGCCGATTGCGACTAGCATAGCTCAATGGTGACGTCTCTAAGTGTGAATATGGATGACACAGGATCGAATCTGTCAGGGAGCATCAGTTCCCCCAAGATTACAGGTACACCTCGCTGACGAGTGTCAAGTAGCACGAAGTTCCTGTTGACTATTTCCAACCACCATCTTAAAACTGATATTGATATTAAGATTTAGATATTAAACAGCTTCCTTTACTACCTCTACGAATCTTTTAATGATGAAAATTGCCATAATGTTGCAGTGCCTCATTATGTAAGTCATTGAACTAATAATGTTATGACTTGCCAAAGTTATGTTTTGAGGGCAGTCACTCAATATAGTACAGAGGTTCATTACAAATGAGTGAATTTTAGTGCCTGTGAATACACGCCAACTCGTAATTCAATATGGGTTCAACTATCACATATATGTTTGAGTGATTTAGTATTTCTAATCAGTCAGTCAGTCAGCTACAACGTAGGACCAGGCACATATGTGCATCGGTCCAGGTTGCCATACCGCATCAACACAACAAGATGAACACCAGATTCATAACAGTGGTTAGGTAAAAGGTGGTAATATATAAGAGAAAGATTGCATATAATACATTGCATATAATACATTTCAATATATTCGCCAATCGTTTAACAGGAAATTGAACGAGTTTATTGGGTACGTTTGGAAACAGAACTATTTATTCGGAAATTAAACTACATGAATATCTCTAAGATAACTCACTGAGAGGCTGACGACTGCTTCCGCTTCGACGACCAGTACCCCCAAGATTTGAACCTCTCTCCTTTGTTACAATAAGGTAAAATACAAGATTTTGTAAAAGTAATGTAATAATCAATCGCATAAATACATCTATTTCTATATAATAAATCATAGTCTTTTGATCCTAGACGAATTGTTTTCAAACGAGTAAAGGCCAAATAAAAAATGTTACTTAGTGGACAGAAACGTAAGAGGATGATTATATAGATACTCATTATAATATATTGCAAAGTAATCCTCTTCTAAAAATAGAAATTCAGTTAGTGTTGAAATTTGAATCCAAACACGATGTCAAAAGCACGACTCAATGTTACAGGTATTGATCAAAACTATTCTAAACCCAAGGGCCTTTAGTTATACAGTTGAAAGACCATCGAATAAATTATCACAGTTGAAATTACGAGTCGATCTAAGCTAGACCACCACTGAAAATCTGGAAGCACTGGACAGCCATTTCGTCCTGGTATGGGACTACTTAGCAAAGTGTATCCTCATACTAATAATAACCATGTGCTTACTAGTAATTAGCTTTAAGATGGATTTCCTGGAGTTCTAGTGAGAAGCCGTTTTTTTCGTGAGAATTTATTTACCGAGCCTGTTCTAAGAAATACAGGAACTAGATAGGAGTACTGAATGGAATAAAACTAGGTCAAAGTTCTGATAATAAAATTGGCTGATATTTTGAGAAACTAAAGCAAGGATTTGGTTTCTAGTCAGAAACGCAGACGCTAGAACAATCTGGCTAGGTCGCCAGTATCAGCCGTAGTTTGTAAAACCCATAAACTGTAAACTAATAAAACCAAGAAACAATATGCGTTTTATGGAGGCTAATGATGTTATTCGGCTATTCAGATAGAAGTGAGCGAAACGGAATTCGAAAGTGTCTCAGTAGTCGGAAGTAAATTTGAATTAACAAACCGTAATCTATACGGTGAATATTAAAGGTAGGAAATACAAGTCAGTCACAACTAAGAAACTGAACAAGCTTAACTTACTGGGATAGTGCGCATATCGTCATTCATCCTCCAATTGCCATTTTCGTGCCCACCCTCCTAAAAAATCAAAAGTTTGTATATAATACTTTCAAAATGCGTTGCGCCAATCTATTTGTTGACAATGCAATGAATATGCGGTGCTGAAATTTTTAGATGTTTACTTTTAAGCACTAGTGTATTGTTACGAAAGACGTCATACTTAATGAGAATAAAGTACTACATTAATTGAACAGATCTTTCGGTATCCATATCACTTACGACAGCCGAGAGACAATGACATTTGTTTGTCCCACCCTACTTACGAGGTATTCTCTACTTAAAATGCGCACAAAAACCAATATGGCCAAACTATACTAGGTTTTCCCATTCATTCAAGATCTCAGTCGACATAAAACCTGAAACTTCGTAATCCTACTTCCTTTGTTTGAAAAAATCTAGACGCCAATCAACCCCTCCAATAAAACCGGTGAGACTAACCAGTTAGAAACAAAGCCACCAAAACGGAATAATAAGAAACTTTACTACTGAATAATGTATGAGTTGATAATGCTGTTTAGAACGACAAAAAGCTTTACACTTACGTCCTCTAGGTCAGAGAACGCAAGTGCTGAAGGCGTTCATCCGAGTTATATTTCTCATTATTATCAACTAACTAACATCGACCCGTGGAGGATGAGGTCGGTCATAAAGTAAATATCCCAAAAATCATGACGTATCTAAATACATTTAACACACTTTTCGAATACAAGAAAACAAAAGCAACATAACCATGAGAAAAGTGAGACTGATAATTAACCAACAGCGAGTGTAGGGACAATTATAATACACCATATCTAATGGTCACAACAGCTTACCTTAGGCTCGTTAAGTTTGCGTCTTTTTTCATCCATAACTGAAGCACTTGTTGGGGTTGAGCTGCTGAGACCCAGATTTCCACCGGGTGTAGGAGTCATAGGTGGAGGAAGTAATAGGGGATTGGTCAGTGCAGATAAACTCGAATGAGGAAGGCCAGCAAAATTAGATCCTAATTGAATACCACCTGAGTTGCTTGATCGACCCCCAGCATCATCCGTGGATGAACCGCGACACGGCTGCTGAGAGATTGGTGGAAGAGATGAAGGGGACCTCCCAATATCGCCACCTCCTAGACCCGCACTAATCGGGAATGTGCCTGGAAAGCCAGGAAACTCACCACAACCACCTAACAAACCAGTGATTGGATTTGGCGGTGGAGGGACTAAACACGGGCCGTTACCAGACGAGCGGTTGGATAACAGGAAACTACCTGCTGCTGCAGCAGCGGCGGCAGCAGCAGCAGCGCGCTGTTAAAAGTAGAAAATTAACACAAAAGTCCGTGATCCAATATCGACTAAGTGTAGTCACGGAGAAAAACCAATTATCCACTCACATGATGAGTGATGAATGTCATTAATCCCCTATCCATTGCTTTTAATATTGCTTCAATGTTAGAAACCAATTCAAGTAGTGTTTTGTACCGTTCAACTCAAAAATATCAGTGATACGGTGCCCGATGATGCGCATAACAACTTGACACATTTTGCAGCAGTACAAAGGAAAAATTGACCCAGAGTAGGGATAGAAAAATCAACGAGTGGGAAAATGTTTAAGAAGCAAAGCGAATACATTTGCGTCACTATGCTCCATTCTTGAAACAGACCATCGAGAGTTTATCAATGCAAACTAGGGTATCCTTTCATCCCTGGAACCTGATTCAGGACGCCTACTTCCTGTATGCCGAAGATCAGTAGTTGAATACATGGGTTTGATTTTAATTTGGTTTAACCATCCTTGTCACTAAAAGAAACTATACCATTTGCAGTAATTGAGATGTGCATCAACATTCATTTTACGAGTCGTGACAGAAAAATTGTTTTATTAAGAAAAATTGTTCACTAGGCTTTGAAAAGTTAAAACAACTATGTTTAATTTCATGCAATTGGTTCCCTTTATGAATTTGAATAGAGCAAGAACAAACATTGATGCAGAATAGTATGAATTCGAAATAATATGAATTCATACTATTCTGCATCAATGTTTGTTCTTGCTCTATTCAAACTATGTTTAAATCCAGAACCGAAGCGATAGTATTTCGTTGTGTAACTTGACAAATAAGTGTACACTGTGGCCACTTAGAATGGCACTTACTTGTTTATCTTCATTACTCATTAACTTTTCGGCTTCACGTCCAAGTGGAGATATCCTTGAACCAGAAGACTGTAGCATAAGGGCTCCCGGCCCAACAGATGCTGCGCCGGCTGCTGACATCAAGCCATTCAACAGTGCCGCTGAAACTGACGGATTACCAGATGGAGAAAGAGATGGAAGCAGACTGGACGTCTGTGCGTTAGCTGACCCTGACTGGAGAGATCCAGGGGTGCTGGACGATGTACTGCCCGCAGAATGGTTAGAAGCCAAATTAGAAGCATGTAAACCTGAAACGCCTGGATTGGCACCCCCAATAACAGAGAGCTGCTACAAAGATGTATTAATGTACAAAAGTGTACCTTGTATGCTTCGAACTGTTCTAATGGGAGCCCCATATTATTTCCGTTGAAGAACTTCGACGACTTGACATCTTCTATTTGTGCCTATACATGAGGTGGAATCCAAATGACTGAGCACTTACTGCCAATACTGAGTTTAATTCCTGCATTGTCACTTGTTTGGCTCTTTCGATAGCTGAAAGAACTTGAGATTGGTGCTACGAATTTGTGGCAAACATAGAAAAACTTACCTCTTGTGATAGGAATGGCAATACTTGGGTCAAAATAGCGCTTAATCTTTTAGCTATTTCCATCTAGCAAAGTTTACTAAGAGGAGAATGACTCACTTGTCTGTGCATTTCTAGGTTTAAACCATTAGCCATCTCATAATACATTACACAAATCCGTTGCATGTCTGACCTCTCACTAAGAAGCTTTTCTCTTTCCAGCTGCAGCCTAAAAAGCCATTATTGCAAAACGTATTCATACGAGTGATTTTGTTGTTGTATACAAGTGAACTCTTCTTTTATTCTATCGCAAGTTTCTACTACAGTAAACTTGCATGAACCCCCCGGCCCAGAGGGCCCCTATAATAATGAGTGTGAACTGGGAATACAAATAGGAAGCAAAAACACTGCTTATCAAAACTTACAGGTGGTCTGCTTGGAAACATGAAGCTTTAAAAAGAGACCGATGTCTCAATAACGAAAAGTCCACGATCCAAACAAGAGACACAAACACAGACGAAAAGATAGATTCAAACAAGACGTGTGGAGACTATTTCGTCCTTCAATGTTTCATGTACAGGTAATTGTGATACATTTTCTATTCGATTCCATGGAACAATTTTGACCGTTCGGAATATATTTTGATAAATCCATCGGATCTTATTTTAATTAATTGAAAAAAGACATAAACGTTCATTTCGGAAAATAATTCGGGTTCAAATTTCCAGATCTAGTTTCATGAATAAGAAGGCTTTCTTGATATGTCTAGTTATCTAACAAATCACCCAACTGAAGGTTCGAACGCTTTTGTTATGTCCGTAGTTTCCGGAAACGGAGAAAGTGGCTCTTAACATGGGTGTTGTCTGTCCCATGCCTCATTATTTCCCAGATATCTCATTTAATAGGGGAAGGTAGACACGATTCTTAAGTCGATTCATTAGCATCATACTTTACGAAAATTAACCACATTTTGGTCCATGGAAGAATAATGTGAACCTAACTAATGGAGCCTGTAGTAGGCGTCGAGTCGCGGTATCTTCGAACAGGGATGTAGCGGTAAATAAATCCCCAAAATAAATAGCTCTGTAGGTTTTCGACATTGGATGCTGACCATATGTCTTGGTGGACTCATCTAGCTGAAGGAGCTTGGTTATGCAGATCACGTGTGGTAACGCTGTGCTCAACATCTACCGCAATCGCTAGCCAGATTAGATCAGAGAATTCCGATATATTGGTTATCGCCAAATACACTCTTCCGAACTCCTTGACTCTGTCTTTTGATTTCTCTCGGTGGGTACAATTTATATTAGAAGGTGCTGCTGATAAAAGCGTTGTCAAACACTGAATACCTGTATCATCCTCATTGGTGAGATCGACGTGATCTGGTACACCTATTTGCAACTGTGAGTCTGTTCCTTTTTGGGATTTTTATATATCATTGCCTTATTTTTATATTTTTTAAACATTGTGATTTTTTTTGCGTTTTTCTTGAATATATATATTTTCCCCTCGTTCATTATCGTACTTCATATTTCATCATGACTGAACAGACACCCAAAGTACTTAAGCTTAAGACTTTGTCTCCACCTTCGTTTCAGCTGATGCTTTTCTGGCCCGACAATATCGAAGTTTGGTTCTGCTACGCAGAAGCCGACTTCTCCGAGCACGGCGTAAACGACACACGTGCACAATTCCTCGCAGTAGTCAAGGCACTACCGCGAGAAATCAACAGGTACGTTACACCTAGTATGTTTACCAGTGATGTTTCCGAACCTTACGAAATCTTGAAACGTTCAATTCTTAAACGAGGAGGCCTAACCGATCGACAAAGGTTAGATCAACTCTTTAACAACATAGACTTGCAGCACGGTTCTGCGACTGACATGTTGCAAAGAATGAGAGAAGTGATAGGCCTAAGAGCTTTCGACGAAGGTCTATTCAAACAACTTTTCTTGTCTAAACTTCCCCAACAGGTGCAAGCGATTCTGGTCTCGTTTCAGAACAGCGCCTTAGACGAGCTGGCTGCATCTGACGATCGTATTTTAGAAATAATGAAATCGTCTACTACATCTACTACTACTGAATATCTGTATCATCCTCAGGGACATTCCGGACACTAAAGTGACATGTATATTCAATAATTTTGTGATCACAACGACTGGTTAATGTATGCTCTACTGTTGGTAATCAAGCTTTACCGGTTGCGGCCTGTGACCGAACATTATATTATTGTTATAACATCCGTTTACGCCACCCTACACCACGTGGAACTTCTGGCCTGAATTACTAGTCAGAAAAGCCATCGAATTTATATTTCCCTTCACGAAATCGGAGCTAATCATGCAGAGAAGCATTTGGTGATCGGGTGAATCTTGTTTGTGGCTCTTATCACAGCAGGGGCTTGTAGCGGTAAATAGATCCCGAAAATAAACAGTTCTTTAAGTCTTCGACATTGATACTGACCTCATTAAATTCACTGGACATATCTAGATGAAAGCACTCGGTCACGCGTACGTATCAGATCACGAGTGGATATGTGATGGGATTGGTCCTAACTACACAGTTCTCAAAGCCGAACATGAGATAACTGGGAAAATGCATATTCAACAATTAACACGAAAAGATCAACAACAAAGAAGGCAGGAACAGTTAACTCAATTCAGTCAGATGGCATGGCTCAGGTTTGCAGACTTGGTTATTCTGTGTTACTTGTCTTTATTCGTATTCAACATAAATGCGTCTTGAAAAGTACTAAGTGTCGTATTGGTAATTGGTACGATACAATGAGTCAGTGTGAGCAACAATGTGATTTTCACGTAAAATCTTATAGACTAGACAGTCACATCATCATATATCTATAATTTTAGGACTAGGTCTATTACTGTAACAGTATAAATAATGAAGTAGACCATAATTCAAAAGGTACACCGTGCTACGTATCACTTGTAACTGCTAGCCAGCTTAGACCAGACGTTTCTCAACACATCGAGAGCTTCCAAAATATATCTTCGAACCACTTCATTCCTGACTTATGGTTTGACTGGATTTGTGATCTTTGAATTATAAAGGTGTTACGTGTAAAGTTGCTTTCACATTCCGAATATCTATGGCATCCTAATGCTTACAGATAAAATCCGTGTCATAACAGTTGTCATTTTCTCCTACCTAATGTACCACTGTGTCCTAAGTGCTATTTGTTATTCTTTTAACTTGTAGTATGGCGTCGAGTCGAGATTGACTATGAACACCATTACAAAGGAACGTGTGCCAGGATATCCATAAAATCCCCCGGAAGTCAAATATCAGAAGGCAGTTAATGGTCCAAGTCGAGATATATTTGCTGGCGATCTCGTGGCATCGAAAGAATACCGAGATCATGCCAGGATACAAGCTTGGTTACTGAGCGTAACTGGATTGTCGCGATGTCACAATCGAAGTAAGTATAATGGATGTTTTTAGCACATTAAAACAGTCACTGGTACAATTGGTTATAATAATTGTTTTCATTAAACCAATCGTGTTCTCGCGATAAATATGAGTTACTACAAACTCATTGAAAGTCACTTCAGTTTATAGTGTCAGTTTTTTGGAGTACTGTTGAAAACTATGCACATTCCTACACCAAGAATAAGTTATTTTACAGCGGTCAGCCACAACACTAGTGTTTTTCCCAATATATTTATATCACATTCCGCTAGCAAGTTCACAATCATTCCAAGTCAGTTTAGTGGTATGTGTTTTCATCTACATTTTAATATGGTGTTCGATTTTGCTTGGAGTAAGTATATACGATCTTCAAACTGGATACACTTTGAAGCATATTTCTTAATGACAACAAGAATTGATTATGTGATTTAAGAACCCACTATATACGCCTATGTATAAAGTCATTATATCTTGCAATGTATGAATGTTTTACGATGACTCATAATATTGCGAATATTACAATGGATCCTCTCATGAACTTGCTGAAGTTGAATTCTAACATCAAGCTCAAAGGCAGAATACATAAGGTGGATGTTTAGTATAACTCATTAAATTTTATCCGTGAATTCTGCTCTTTGAGAACAATCATGGCTTGAAATTTGATATTCTAAGAGGTGATCCAGACGCTTCTCCTAATTTTTGCAAGATAAATCAATAAATTTTCCTGAGAAGCCAATAAAACATGACAAAGATTCGTTAAAAAATGTTTCGGAATACTAATCTTTAAATTTCCAAGTCTTTATCTGCGCCCATTGATGGTTCGTTATTACCAAATGCTGAAGTTTTTTAAACTGTCTTCTCATTTACGGTCATTTGGAATCTTTAACAAGCATCTCTATAACGTCATTTTCACAATCTCTTAGATCACTCTGAGAGCTCTAAACCTCATTTAGATAAGAATCTCCTGCTTTATTGCAGTTTTATCACTTCCATGTATCAGTAACTCAGTAATTTACCAGTTAAAATTCTTTTCATCCCTTTTTAGGCTCATTTCGTACTGAGCTCGTTAGTCGTACCTTAATGGAAGTCGTAGTTTTAAATGATTTCTCCTAAGTTGTTAAAAAACCGATGGTGAAGACAGCTCACTTTTAAAATTCCTATCATCTTTACATCCGATAGTCATTGAAACACATTTGTTTACAATCTCAGAGCTCAAATGAGTCTCAAACCAGTTATCAAAAGTATTCGTTAAGTTACAGAACTTCCATACCTTCACTTTGTCCCCCGAATACCACAGATTTGGAGATACTATACAGTCCATCTATATGACAACGAACTTTGTGCCACACACTGTAGCCTCACTCCTTGAACCGTCTTTTAAAAAGTTAAGTTAAATTTTCTTCATAGCTGAGACAATGTCAGTAGACTTCCCGTTATCCATAACCTTTAGATATTAGATAAAATCTAAGAGTTCAGAACCTAGATAAAAGCCTGTCTAGACTCCAAATAAAGAATATTTGATTTTTTTCTGTTATTCATGAAGTTCGTCTGATTTTTTTGCATAGATAAGGTGAATAATGAGCGAAAAGCCTTCACTTAAGCAATAATGTAAGTTGTTGAACATGAACTAGGTTTCTAGGAGACTGTAATGTCTCCCTCTCAACCTCTTCCCAAGTCACATCTCTAAGAGTAAACAGCCGATAATTTAATAAATGCCAACTGATTTCCGTTTTGTTAAGCGGAACGATTAAATGTTCCCTCGAGTGTAACGGATATTGATCCAGCGACAAACTAGATATCCTTGCCAGGAGTAAGCATACATACCACAAACTAAAAAAACCGTTATGTATCTAGTTTGATTATTACAACTTTTTTGTATTTACAGGACTTGCCAACTTCAATACTACCCGTTCTTAATTCTGAAGCTTATTCTAATTTCCTGAGTAGTTTGCGAGTATTGGCTCTGACATGTAGTTTCTATCACTAATGATCTGTGTAAATTAACATGAATCAAGTTTGT